TATGAGTCCTTTATGTCTGCTGTTCAATATATTATCAACGCTAATCCTGGTTCCGTATTTATTTTCTTTGGTGATTTTAACCTTCCTGACCTATCCTGGTCTAATGACAATTTTGGCTTAATTTATTCTTCCTCTGGCCCTGCAATCCACTGTGTTCCTGACGTTTTGGCATATAATAATTTTTTCCAACTAAATCTCATACCCAACTCTAATGGTAATTTCCTTGATCTAGTTTTTTCCAATGATTCTCGGATCAATATAGAGAAATCCGTTACTGGGGTGGTCCCTTGTGATCCTTACCACCCAGCCTTAGATATTATTCTTACTTTTGTAGATGACTTACCTTCTATTGATAGTTGTCATAAATATTTTAATTTTCGTAAAGCCTGTTATCCTCGTATTAGTGTCTTCTTATCATCGTTTAACTGGTTAGAAACCTTAACAACAACCGATATTGATTCTGCTACGTGTGCATTGTACGATGCATTACATTACTGTGTTACAAGTTTTGTACCCTTAATTGTTTTCAAACCTTCTAAATTTCCATCTTGGTTCTCTAAAAATCTAAAGAACATTGTTTTTGCCAAGAAAGAAATGCACGCTAAATACAAAGCATCACGTAATCCTGTTGACTACAATAAGTTCTCTAACCTGCGCGCTCAGTATAAGTATTATTATAAAAAATGCTATAAAACATTTTTGGATAACACTGAAAACATGCTTAATGTTAATCCTCGTTTATTCTGGGACTTTGTACGTAAGCGTAGATCTAACAATGGTATTCCCAACTCTGTCCACCTCAATGATCTAAGTGCCACTGGTCCTGAATCCATCTCCAGTCTTTTCTCATCTTACTTTAACTCAGTATATGTGCCTTCCTCAGCAAGTAGCCTACCTGTTATTCCATTTGCGTATCATACTTTACCTTCTGACTGCATCTTTGGTATCGAAGATGTCGAGAACGGGTTAGCTGCACTAAAAAATGTACACTCCGTTGGCCCTGATGGTCTATCTGGGACCTTTTTGTATAACATCAGATCTGTCCTCTGTTTTCCTTTATGGTTACTCTTCAGGCGTTCAATGGATGATGGAATTTTTCCATCAATGCTTAAAATCAGCTCAGTCACCCCTGTGTTTAAATCTGGTGACAAATCTAACGTCACGAATTATCGACCCATCTCGATTCTAAGTCATATTGCCAAGCTTTTCGAACACCTAGTACTGCAATCCATTCAGCCCTCGGTTGACTCTGTACTAGTCGACGAACAATATGGTTTCCGACCTGGACGTTCTTCCACTTCAAACCTAATTGTGTTTAATAATTTTGTCCTTGAGGCATTTGAAAATCGCTCCCAGGTAGACGTGATTTTCACTGATTTTGTGAAAGCATTTGACCGTGTCGACCACGCTATCCTAATTGACATCCTCTATAAGTCCGGTTTTGGCGAACCTATTTTGTCCTGGTTTAAATCATACCTGTCCGATCGTGTCCAGTGGGTTAAAGTGCTTGGATCAAAATCTGCTGTCGTTCCTGTTCCATCTGGTGTTCCCCAAGGTGGTCACTTGTCTCCCCTGCTTTTTTCGTTATTTATAAATGGAATTACGAAGGCTGTTCCTAATTGTAGATTCCTTATGTTCGCTGACGACCTGAAACTTTTCCGAAAAATCGAATCTGAAGCTGACTGTCTCGCCCTTCAGAATGAGTTAGATTCCATTAGCTTATGGTTTAGCACTCTTGGCCTCCAATTTAATACTAATAAATGCAAAGCTATGTCCTTCACCAGGCGCCGGTTGGCAATCGATTATTCTTACACTATCAATGGTTCAGTGATTGATAGAGTTACAAGCAATAATGACTTGGGCGTTCTTTTCACTGCCGACCTGAACTTCCGCCCTCACATTGACTCCATCTGCTGCCGAGCCCTCAAATCGCTTGGCTTCGTAATGCGCACCATGAATGAGTTCAAGCTGTCTGGATCTCTCAAGACTGTCTACTGCTCTTTAGACCGAAGCATGCTAGAGTATGCGTCTGTGCTCTGGGATCCATTTGTGGTAATTGATTCTTGCCACTTAGAGCGAGTACAAAGGCGCTTTCTGTCGTCTGCAGCTTACATGCTAAAAATTGTCCATCCTCCGCATGACTATACTCCAGTATTGCGCGCACTTAGCCTTACATCTTTAGCAGATAGGCGCGTTAAAGCTAATCTGGTCTTTTTAAAAAAGTTAATCGATGGTTCATTAAATGCCCCTTCACTGCTCGTCCAAGTAAACTTTAAAGTTCCACATCGGGCCACAAGGTCTCGAGTTCCTTTTACTGTACCTCTCCACTGTACCAATTACGGTAAAAACAAACCAATTGACCGCATGATGCGGTTGGCTAACGAGGACCCCTCCTTTCTCAGTTTACCTTAAATTGTGTTATTTTTGTACATTTATTGAATGTAATTTTACTTGTGTCCTAATTATTTTATTTTATATTTACTGTACCTGTAATTCTGCTGTATTTTAGGCCATCGCCCCTTGTATATGTTAGCTATCTTATTTTACCAAATTATTATTGTGTACTGTACTAAATAAGGATCATTAATTCCGTAAATTAATTAATAAATAAATAAATAAATATGTTGAAATTTGACGAATGCATTTTAAATGTATTGGTTTGTGTTGTTTTTTAAGGAAAAATTGTCTGTTTTAGATTTTTTATTCAGGGGGAGGCATTATTTGAAATAGCAAGTTTGATAATTTTGTCATTTTGGTTTTGATTCGTTGATCTTTAAGATGAGGACGTATTGTTTCTATGGATTTATGTAAACTTTCGATATCAGTGCCAATTTGATTCCAAAGGTCATTTAGGTTCACTTTTTTATTTGAAGAATTTTCGATTATATACTTAAATAAATTAAAGTTGATGGGTAATTTGTTGGGGTGTTCGAAAAGGTGGGAACAAGGTTCTAATTGTGTGTCGATGCTTTCGTTGCTCTTGACCTAATTTTGGGTTTTTTATTTTTTTTGATTGTAGATGTGATTGTAATAATATTGTCGTTTTCGAAAGTTTTATCGATTAGTGAACGTGATTGGTGAGGTTGTGTTGTAGGTGATGTGAATGGGGTTGAGGAGTTAGATAGAGGTCTTTTATTTTGATCGGGTGTTGTTTTTTTGATCGGTCAATGTTAAATGGTAAATTTTTTTGTTCTTTTGTATAATTGTTTTCTGTATTTTTATTATTAGTATTATTGTTTTTGTTGGAATTATCTTCATAATAAATGTTGTTTTGGACAGGAACTGGTTCAGTTGTGACATTTTCGCTGTTGATTGGATTACTTTTGCATGATGACGAGATATGTCCTTTTAGTTTACATGTTTAACATGTGGGTGTATCATCTGATAAATACGGAAGATAGTGTTTTCTTGTGTAACTGTAATCGAACTGGGTAGGTGTGGGAAGTCTTCTGGGTTTATATATAGTTTTCTGCGGAAGCTGGTAATGTGAGAAAATTGGTCCGTAGATAGATTGGATTTTAAGTGTGTAATTTGGGATGTGGTTCTTATTTTTATTTCGTGTAAGGCATTGAAAATTACTTGGTCCGGAATAATTGGGTATACATTAGATAATATAATTTTTTTTGATGGATTAATAAGTTTTCTTATAGGAATTGTTTTATCATTTATTTTAATATTTGGGTGGTTTTCACTAGTTCATCGGCGGTTTTTTGGCTGTTTAAGAATACGTAAAAACGGTCGTTTGAGATTCTAGAAACTGCGATGATGTTTAATGGTGAAGTAAATTTTCTAATTGCTGTAAGGTATTCTTATTGTTTATATCGTCAATTATTATTAGAACAATGGCTTGGTTCATTTTTGGGGTATTTTGGTGTGCAGTCGTTTCTGCAAAGCTTTTAGGTTTTGAGCTGTCTGTATTGTTAGCTTGGCTGTTATGCGACGAGTTGGTGGGTTGATTTGAGTTTGTATTGATCAGAGTATTGTTGAATGATTTTAAAGATGATGCAAGTATGATAGTTTATCTTTAATAGTGAGAGTTTGTTGTGTATTTTGATTTTTGGATTGTTCGAAAATGTTTTGGGTGTGTGGTTGCATAATTGTTATGGGCGGCGTATCGCCCATTGTGTGTGTTGAGTGATAATCGTTTTGGTTTCTTAATTGGCTATGTATGTGTTACTATGTATAAATATATTCATATTACCCATATGCTGATTGTGCTAATGAGCTTAACTGCGCTATCGGGAGCTAAGAAACGATAAGCTAGGACGGTTTGTGTGCATGTTGTTCAGACGGTAGGCAAACACGAACTGACAATACTTTTTAATTCCGTTAATAGGTACGTTAAATCGTTATTACATTAATATATATCATAAATAGTTTATACATAGAAGTTAAGAACTAAATAAATAAATCAATTAATGCTTGACCTAAAGTATTATTATATTTTTAATGAATGAATTTTTAATTGAAACCGTCATACATTTCAAATTTAACAACACTTAAGGCAAATCATTTATTTATTTATTTATTTATTTCTTTATACGATATATATAAAATGCTTAAAATTGTGTTTCAAAAATAAATAAAAATGTTTGAGACTGAATAGAAAAATATAATAATAAGTATAATGTAATATGAATTAAAAGAAAAAGTTTGTCAGGCTTTTTATTTATTTTTGGTATTTTTAGAAATAAAACTCTGAATTCAGGGTCAGCATGCTTCTGTTTTATCACAGTCTTTTCTAAACAACCTATAACCCGAAACTATTTGATCCTACTGTAAACGTGCTATATTTACTAAAACATATAGATTTGCTCGTCTGTTTAATCTGAGCTGCGTAAAAAAATGTATTTGACTCCGCGTAAAAAAATGTATTCAAATCCGCATAAAAAATGTCTACCAATCTTATTTGCTGACATGTCCCGTCCTCGCACTCGGGAATACGATTGCTCCCTTCTGCATTTGCGGTGAAACTTACAAATGATGTTTGTCGTTCGTAGACGAACCTGGTACCGTACCCGAGGATCCATTTCCCGCTGGCCACTTACGCGCCAGTGATATCGGCCGAGAAGGCATACCACGAGCAGATGACCGTGGCCGAGATCACGAACGCGTGCTTCGAGCCGGCCAACCAGATGGTGAAGTGTGACCCGCGGCACGGTAAGTACATGGCCTGCTGCATGCTGTATAGGGGCGACGTGGTGCCGAAGGACGTGAACGCGGCCATCGCCACCATCAAGACCAAGCGGACCATACAGTTCGTGGACTGGTGCCCGACGGGGTTCAAGGTGGGCATCAACTACCAGCCGCCCACTGTAGTGCCAGGCGGTGACCTGGCCAAGGTGCAACGGGCCGTGTGCATGCTGTCCAACACGACGGCCATCGCGGAGGCCTGGGCCCGGCTCGACCACAAGTTTGATCTGATGTACGCGAAACGGGCGTTCGTTCACTGGTACGTGGGCGAGGGCATGGAAGAAGGCGAGTTCAGCGAGGCGCGCGAGGACCTGGCCGCTCTCGAGAAGGACTACGAGGAGGTGGCCACCGACTCGGCGGACGGCGACGAAGGAGACGAGTACTAACCACCACCACCATCAGAGTCATTTCAGCGGCATGGCGGTCGCGACGACAACGGCGGCCACGACCCGGTCACCGATCTCGTCGGATACAGACGTTTTCGACCTCGTGTGTCGTTCGTACGATGATCAATGTCAACGCGAATTTATATTGTACAGAGTGTTCGCGCGTACACCTTATAAGTGCATTTTCTTACGGATCGGATACCTTTTCTGTGTACGCGTAAGTCCAACCCGCCCACGTTGTACGATCATTCCGCCAACGGGTTCGTCGTCGAAATGACTCTGTTTCGATGTATAATGTTTTTCATATCGAAAATCAAATATTTATTACAATATATGATTCTAATCCAATCGATCCCACGATCTGCGTCTAATATTAAAAAACGTGCCCGCGTCGACATATATCATATACTAACACTGCTGCAGTACATGTACTCCAACACTTTTTTATTTATTAATTTTCTTTTTGTGAAGTATATTAACGTAGGTATATAATAATACATATTTATTTATTCTTATATTACGAACTATGTAATTTTGTAATTGATAATCCACTTTTATATTAGAATATAACGACTTAATTGGTTAAAAAAATAAATATAAAAGTAAAGAAATAATAATAATAAGAAATAACTATGTATTAAATAAAAGTTGATATATATATATACACAAAAATAGGCAGGTCGTTGACACGACGAAAAAAATTGCACCGTACATCTTTCTTATGTATTGTTTTAGTTAGCTCCTATTAATAATATCCAATTAATTTTAATTTCTTTGTTTGGCTTGTACATTTTTTTTTAAAGCAATTGGTTACTTTTTCAATTAAAAAAAATAAAAAAAAATACACAAACAATGAGTAGATATACCTTTATTTGTATTTAATAAAAAATAAATTACTATTAGAATTATATATATATATATATACCACATTGCCGTTAAGTGTATATTGGATCTTACATCTAACACGTTGTAGTATTGAATATATTCGCGCGATATTTTTTATTTAAAGTCGTTTTTCACGAAAATCGCTTTTTTCTATTTTCGTATTTTCCAATTTTTAATCTGATGCACAGACGACACAGAGTACATACACGTATTGTTTACGTGAATTATTATTTCTATAAGCTATAGGTATACAAGTCCTAAATTATGGTCTTGAAGTACATTCGCTAATTGGACAATAATTATTTATAAATATATTTTGACAAAATATAAATGTGTATTGGTATACAATGGAATAAAATATTATACGCAAACATGTGCTTGCAGTATTCTAATTAGTAATTACCGAACTACCGAATACGAACTGCCTGCCAACGTATTGTTGTAAGATAAAATTACGAAATTATTTCTTAGGAATAACAATCCGTGTACCATTTTATTATAATATGATGTTTACAATTACAATATAATAATATTTTATTTTTCGTCTTTTTCGTAATATTACTCATTAGATAAATGTATGATTCCACAGTTATTACGGACGTGTGAAATACTAAAAATCACACGTCATAAAATTACAATTGTACACGATTTTTTTATAACTCTAATTTAAACTTAAGTACGTAGCATTTAGTTTATTTAAGTACCTGGTATTCGGTAACAATACATACACGCACTGTATCACGACCAATTTACTACTTATTCAATGTTCTGTTCAATCACTTATTTAAGAAAAGTTCACATTTTATAGGGGAAACGGAAACATGTACAAGGAAATAAACATTAAACTATCGATTTAATTTTTCTGCCGATAGTGTGATCTTACATAAATGTAATAAATAATATTTTTTTACGATTTACACGTATTATTATAATATTTCTTTCAAATACCTACTTACAACAAAATATAAATGACAATTGTATTTTTTTAAGTATATTATTTACTATAACATTATTATTAATTTGAATAAATAGTATTTATAATTTGTGTATGAATTTTAATCTGCAACAGTCGATTTTGAGATTGGAAAACATGAGAACAAGTTTTAATTTTCCATAAACATATTTGTTTTTTATTTATTTTTTTTAATTATATATCATAATTTCACGAGCATACATTCTATCACATAATGTTACATATATACATAAATACTATATCGATTGCATTACAATAATACAATGATTTCACTATGGCGGGCATGCATAGTGATTACACATTGTGATACAGTTAGGAATATAATAATTAGGATGCACTTTTAACCACAATAAAAGGGTGTTACAGTCAATGCATTCATTTACAATGTTTGGATACACTTGAGTAACAAGGAATGAGAAAAACAGAAGTGGACAACAGTAAATAAATTAAAATAATGACTAACTGAATGGACCACGTATAAAATAATAATCATACGGATAAATATATTAGAATATATATGCGACGATCAGAAGTTACACGAATGAATTATTAAACATAGGCCACATCCTTATCTAACAGAGAAAACTCCATATATGGAATTCACATATCAATAACCACATCCGGTAGTGCACACGGGTAAAATAACCAAACGATTAGAGATTCCCATGAGATCGGGGTATATAAAGGGATCCCGAACAGGCTCTATTTCGGATGTGTTTTAGTCTTTTTAATACATGCACCTCCACGCCAGTTTGTTTTATAAATTAATTATTTGGATAGAATAATTTTACAAATTAAATAAATTGGACTTAGAAATATTTCAAAAGTTTTGAGTTATTTATTTAAATATTATCATTATTCTACATTGACTATGAAGCTGTACAGTTGAATGTGCTCATCTCTCATTGTAATGTCCGGTACCCATATACCAGCACGCAACAACATGTAGGTAATGAAGTTAATAGGGACATGTCATTTTCAAATATTTCTGTATTTAATGTGTATCTTTTTCATAAAAGATAATGAAAAAATTCAATAGACTTATTGTCTACTAAGATAATATTTGTAAATTTAATTTTGCAAGGTAAATTTCAGTCTAATAATGATGTAGATTCAAACCAAGGACTTTATGGTTCATAAATATTTTATGGACGATTGTGTATTCTGTATTTATAAAAGGTTAGAAAATGTCTGGCCTATAATGCATTTATGATTAATTAACACTACCATGTTACTTAATTCTGTGATCGAGAATTCAAAATTGATAAGTACAAAATAGTAACTTTTCAGGAGAGCAATTTAATAATTTTAGAAGATAACAGAAAATCACAATTTAATTATACGAGTACAATTTTATATAACGTTATATTTTTATATACTTACCTACTATTTAAATCATAAATATATAATACTAATTACATTTTGATATTAATGGCCAAAATTGCGTGTATGCAACATTAATTACAATGATTTTTTTCAGAAAATTTCAAGAAGCATTAGATTCTTTAATTGAAAATATACGTAGAACATTATTTGTAATTTTTATTTATTTAAGTACATGCATTTGACCTAATACTTACGCTTAATTTTGGAAGTTTATTGGCGAATTATTAATAAAATTCGTACACGGACGATTTTATTTATATTAATAAATGATATAATTTTAATTGTCGTATGGTCTATCTCGTATACTCTACTTAACTTGAAAACTCAAACGACCATAAATTACAGGTTACAGAAACTCTCTCAGAGTTTCGGTAGGACTACATTACCTTCTAGGCTTTGTCTTTAATGGCCATAAATTAACCAGTAACAGAATGGACAGAGGAATAAGATTTAGTATGGTGGCTACTCAAAAATAAAACAATAATTTACACAAAACGCTGGTATTATATTTTTGTTATTGATGTTAAATTTGTATTTGCTATTGTACAATCCGTCAATGTGGGTTATACAATAAGTACTAGTGTTGGACATTTACCTAACATAAAATAATTAATATAATATATTAACATAAAAAAAATAAATAAATTACGTTATGATTTTAATATTATATTAAAAACAAACATAAATCACTGGTATCCCCAATACGTTAACACATAAACGCGTTCCGATCGAAAACTCGTATGCCCTCTTATCAGCTGCTATCTCAGCTTATTATTTTCTTTTGGGCTATACTATATAATGGTGGTTTTATGGGGAGGGGTCCAGGGGGTCTGGACCTCTCTCTCAGGTCATACGTTTAGGTTGCGATAATATTATATGCGGATATACGCTTATTTATAAATCTAAAATTTCAACTGTATGTCCGTATATTTGAATGTTTGTTACAGCTATTGCCTATTTAGGTATTTACTCATATATTTTCATTGAAATTACGACGTTTTATAATACGTATTTATAAGATTATATAAAAGAACCATTTTGTACTTAATACAAATGTGTATTTTAGGATATACTGATTTATGTTTGTTAACATAATATCGTTATAAATAAAAAAATAAATGTTTTCCATTTCGAATTTATGCCGTAGAAGTTCAGTGGTAAGTGCTCGTAAACCTTTTACATATATTTACTATTGGCGTTGCAAACTACTTATATCAGATACTCCTTCTCTCAACATTGATTTGAAACGAATTAAACATTTATAAGACGCGTCCTCTTGGCATTCGGTGGTCGTTTCCCCATAACCAATGACAGTCAATGTACCAGGTCTTATCGCAAGATCAATAGCCTTACAATTTTTTTCTAGAAATATATAAATAATACTACGGTATAGTTAAACAAGTTAAATGTTTATATATAAACTTAAATCTCGGAATCATACCAATTGCTAGTCTAGAGTCAATGCAAATTTCATATTCTATCGTTAGTCCTTCTTCTTCTACAATTCGATTTAAAAGCTTGACACAAGAAGGAACCATAAACTTGCATATATAATTCAATTCCTGTGAAAGAATAGAGAAATTATACATACAAATAATTAGTCTTACATTGTTATATTATATATATTTTATGTGCATTTATGGTTGTGATTAGGTGAAACAAATGCGATTACCTTCAGTTTGCATATACTAGGATTATTCGATAATCGAAGTCGATTGGCAAGATCGGCATGGTAATGAGAATCGACCGACTCATTTAATAGTGACACGCAGTTTTTATTGCGATTGAGGAATCTGTTGGTATTATACGAGTAGTGTTCTGCCAGGGATGCTGGGTGATCAACAACAGTGGCGATTGTCTGTTCTTCGGCGAGTCCGGCACATGCTTTTTTTCAAAAACAAACAAACATTTTTATAAGTTTATTTTCATTTATTTCCAAAATTTTTTTGTAAAGGAACGTTACTTATGATATCGTCTTTGAGTTTATTATACATTATGATAGCAGCATGTCGTTTAACTTCTTTTTTCATCAATCCCTTAACTATATAATAAGTACAAAAGTACATTACTAAAGTATTGAACATAATTAGAAATTTAAATTAAATCATTTACCCCTGACTGTACTCGTCATAACAGTACATTTTACAGAATAAAGTAACGTTTTATTGTCACTTTCTATAAAAAACTCGTATTTTGGTAATGACCAATTACGAGACATGCACAACTCATTCAATGTGCAAATTGAATTCAATTCCAACTTTTCGATATTTATTGCATTCACCAAGTGACTATTTCTGAAAAAGACGATAAATCCATAACATTTTTTTGTTAATTTTAAATCTGTTTTATTTTTTTTTAATATATATACATACTTTAAATTGTTTGCGGTACTTTTGATCATGTCGTTATGCTTCTGTTCATGGAAGATTGTTGACTTACTGTGACCGATGAGTTCGGAGGTCACTTCGTAATTTTTTTCCAAAGGAACGTTACTTATGGTAGCGTCTTTGAGTTTATTATACATCATGTTAGCAGCACGTCGTTTACCTTCTTTTTTCATCAATCCTTCAACTATTTAATAGGTAAAAAAACACATTTCTAAATTATTGAAATAATTAGAAAATTAAATTAAACCATTTACCTCTAACTGTACTCATCATAACAGTGCATTTTACTGAATATGTAATAGATTTATTATCACCCTCTTTGAAAAATTCGTACTTTGGCAGGGTCCAATTACGAGCCATACATAGTTCATTTAATGCACAAATTGGATTCGATATATTTGCATACTTAATGTCATTTACAGTACTTTTGGTCGTGTCGATTTGCTTCTGTACCTGGACACTATGACCGGTGAGTTTAGTCATCACTTGGCTTCGATTTTCTTCCGCAGAAGTGCAAGTCACGTCGCCATTTGACATATTAAGGCTATGAAATTCCGAATTGAGATCATTCGGAGTAAGTCTTGTAGTCAATACGTAATCAGTATTATCTTTAATGGGTATCGTTGGCTTTTTATTCGTAGACGCCTGCTGGACTTTAGTTTCATCGGATCTATGAATAAAACTACTATCGACGGCTGTGGTGATGGCAGGTTCCTCATTTTGTACAGACGATGTGAACATACACGAATCAGCGAATTCTTCGTAACAACTTATGTTATCGTTCTCAACCTCTACGGAATCGAAAATTTCGCTATTAATTTGATACCTTTCGTTTTTGTCACCGAACAACGAGCAATGTCCCAACTGAGATTCAATATAGTTCATTTTATTGCAAATGTTTTGAATTTTCCTTTTTAAAAACTCATTTTCTTTGCACAATGCGTTCAGTGTACAATGGAACTGATCAAACTTTAATTTGACATTCATTGGTGGATTGGCTACAAGAAATAATGTTTTATAGTGTTATATGTATATCGATTTTATAATTTGGTTTAATACCTTCTACGACTTCAACTTTGTGTTGAAAATGTTCGCACTTTTCTCTTAAAGAAGCCAATTCAAGGGCTGTCGATTTGTTTTGAACTTTAAAATCAACTGAAAATCAATAACACATTAACTGTAGATAGGTAATATATTGTATAATGTTCTATATATTAATATGTAATATAATTATAAAGCATGCTTGTAACAATCAGTTACCTTTCATTTGGTCTATTTTTGATGATAATTCACCAATGACCGTATTCTGAACCTCGATCTTGCACAACAGTAGCTCTATCGTTTCTTTGTTGCAACTTGAATGCATTGTTTTTTTTTAACTTGCGATTTATCTCCAATGATCGTGGACCTTCTCGTATGTCGTAAACAAACCTAGAACAATTATTATTCACCTTGAAATAAATTTATGAACGATTAAAAACGGTATAATCGTTTTGCGTTAATTATAATAATATAAATTTGAATTGATCGTATAGTATATTATGATAATGTAACTAACTATATCTTTATCACCGAGGGATTAGTACTGCGCTTTGTTCTGGAGCTTCACCTAGAGCGCTTTTGTCGCGTTATTTTACGATCAACATCTTATAAATAAACAATAATCTAAAATGTACAGCGCTGTGCGAAGAAAGATATAATAATAATAATAATAATAATAATAATAATAATAATTTCGCACGCGCAGTGACGCGGAGACAACGTGCACGCCACCAGAGCACCCCTATAGAGAACACGACGTGTTGAATCAACGGGTAGTACGTTTAGTGGGAGGTCAAACTGCACGCCGACGAAAACTGGCCGCCGCCGAGTACTGATCTCACAGTAAATAGGGTATGTAAAGCATGACACCGCAGAGTTAAACGAAAAATAAAATTATAACAGTAAAACATCCAAATAAAGTTGTTTACTAAATTAACAAACAATTTTAATTGGATATTTCCGTATTTGTGGTATTTTATTTGAATTTGTTTATAAATAATTTCAATTTAGATACCTACTTATTATGCTACTTTTTTTTTATGTAAGAATATATATATATATATATATATATATATATATATAAATCTCGTGTCACAGTGTTTGTAACCATACTCCTCCGAAACGACTTGACCGATTTTAATGAAATTTTGTATATACATTTGGTAGGTCTGCGAATAGGTTCTTATTTATTTCTTAAACTCCTAAGTGCTATTGTTTTATACATCGTGGTTTAATTTAATAATTTTTGACCAGGTAGATAACTGCGCAATTGAAAATAAATTATTAAATGATACTATTAAAAAACTATTAAAAACTATTCATTTTATTTTTGGTATTAAATAACGGGTATTGCATAAATAATAAACAAGATCTCGCAATAGGTGCCAAAACAAACTAAGAAGAATGTTAGTTTGATGGATTATTATGCAAATCGATTGATGATTAGATGCGATCAGGACAAAATTTATTCTACGATATCATGAGTATTGTCAACAATTCATAGTCGACATTTATGTAAAGACAGAGAACGAACGATTACGATACTTGCAATTCAATCAAGAAAAGCTGCGTGCGGAAGATTCTCAAAACAATTGTTAGATATCCGGTGATGGAAAAATTATTACAGATGAAAAGGGATGGATACAATCACCGACCGATTTCTGCACAATCGTTGATTCGCAAGATGCTCTCATTGACCAGATATTTCCCAATGTACATAGAAAAAACACAAATCATGAGTGGCTGGCAGAAAGAGCAATTTTAGCAGCAAAAAATGTGGAGGTCAACGAATTGAATTTCAAGATACAACATTTATTACCAGGAGACTTGGTGTCATACAAATCTATTGATACATTTTTCGATGCTACTGATGCTGTAAATTATCCAACGGAGTTTTTAAACTTATTGGATTTGCCAGGTATGCTACCGCATAATTTACAATTGAAGATTGGATCTCCGGTTATTTTGCTTCGTAATTTGAACCCCCCCACAGTTGTGCAACGGCACATGATTAATCATTAAAAAAATAATGAAAAATGTTATCAAAAGCCATAATTTTAAATAGCAATTTCCGAGGTGAAAATATATTATTACCGCGAATCCCTATTATACCCACATGTGTCAATACAATTTAAAAGCCTTTAATTTCCAATTAGATTGGCATTTGCAATGACTATCAATGTTTGAACGCATCGTCGCGGAGCCTTTAAGAAATATTTGTCGCCAGCTGGCCGCGCGACACTCGCGAACATGCGCTCTGAAAAATATTATAAATTATAATGAAAGGAGGGGATGATGATATTCAATGACAATAAAAGGCCAAGAAAATGATAAACCAAACTTATTATTATTAATGTTAACGAACAATAGCTAAATAAAACAATCTTATCTAGGGTGGTGTTGATAATGGTCCAACTAATAGTCGCTACACCTGACTCCTAGAGGGTAGCGTCAATAAACACTGTGACCAACCGGCAGACCGCAACGGACAAACAACCGTGACGATGGATGGCTTGTGTCGAGGCCGAGGTTGGCACTACTGGTGTACACGACGCGCATGACGAACCGGCTTGTAACAATGGCCACGGGTGAAAACCACGTGGACACTAACGAAAAACCAGAGTGATCGCGAACCGAAAACTAGTTGACTTACGGGAGACGCACTCGAAGAGGATCTGTCTAATATGCACAAAAGCGAGTTCGTGAAACACGTGCACGGTGATGGTACAATACCACTATCCATCAATCGACCGACGCGATAAACGGAGCGTAAGGATGCATGGCCGCGAAAGTGATCACGAGGTCGACAATATCTAAAAATGACGCGTTGACACTACACGCGGTGACACACACACGAGATCAACCAACAGTCACGGATCAAACGTACGACAGACGACAATCACGTACAAAATGAAGGCAAGCCAGTGAATCGACGAACATGGCCCACTCCTGCATAATATGGCTCGGCAGCTTGTCGTCCCAACCAAGGTTACTCGACCACGTCCGCTGCATTATGTGTGTTTGCGTAAAAGATGGCTGGCGAAAATATGCCCAACGGGTCGAAGATACTCGCTATTAGCGATAAGACGTCGCGTTTTGTCAAAAACGGTGGCGATTCGCAACGGAGAGCACAGCTGAAAACATCTTCTGTCGGCCACCACTGCAGGCCGAGAACTTTGACACCACTCCCATCTATGGCTTTCAAAAAGTAACGGGCCTGTCACATGGTCGAAAGCAGGTGCACTGTCGAGGATCGCGGCATAGTTACTAGGCACTTTTTCAGCTTTAAATCTGATTTATTGAGCACCGTGATCACATTACGCCATTAAGGACATCGTTAGTCATATCAGCGCTTACACAAATATCGTCAACGTAAGTTTGTTGCAATAACATCTAGCCGACATCTCCGAAACCGGCTTACATGTCGGCAGCGGCACCTGAAATTGACCGGACGGTAAACGTTTGTGTTCGGCGCGAAAGTGACTTTCACACCAACCATCGTCGGTGAATGAAGACGGAGCCGCGTCCGGTTCTTCAACTGTCCAAAACTTATCCATTAAAGCTTCGATGGATGTAGCTAAGAACACCGGTGTGGTGTGAACATGACAACTGGCAGCCGCTGGGAATGGCCCAATAAGTATCCAACCGAAAATTGAACTAAAAGCCGTGGGTAATGACTCGTTGACTTTGATTTTACACCCATCCAGAATCGACGAAAACAAGTCAGCTCCGAGTAACATGTTGACTGGAGACGCAACGTTGAACTGCGGATCAGCGAGTGCGAGGGTGGAAAAACGGTCCTTGATGTCTGCGGGGAGAGAAGTGCGTAGCATGTCAGTCGTGATTAAAGGCAACACCCACGCTTGCATAGTCAGCGCGGGTTCAGACGCAAATTTTGCGTGTTAAATCTAACGCGGCCGGATATGGCATTCGACGATTCCTTTCACATTGACGACAGGTGTACTGGAGATGCCATTAACTGGCATGGTCCACGGACGCGGTCGGAACACGCGACTGTTATGGCACTAATCTGGGACGCGGAGTCCACCAGGGTGCGAACGGTTTGCCACGAACCGAATCTGTCACGAACGTGAACCAACGCGGTGCCTAACAACACCGTCGGTATCGCATTCGGGCGCGGAGCCAACTCAGTGGCGCAGCACGACGGCCCTTCCCCACTATCTTCGCTGCTTTCCTCCTGATGGGGGGGAATGGCACCATGTAAGAGTGAGTGATGCTTCTTGGAGCATTTCTGGCATCGCGACTTAGACGGATATGTTCGGATCCAGTTATTGCTGCTGAAACAGTTAAAACATACTTTATTATCATAGACCAAGCAATTCCGATCGTCCAAAGACCACGATCGAAATTTCGAACAACCGCTAATAGTGTGTGGCCTAGAACAAGGACAAGTTACGGTAGACGGAGGTACACGATTATCCGTTGATTTAGCGGCGATGAGCGCCACAGGGTTACTCTTTCCCGTGCGACGACTACCGTACGGTCCGATAACAGATGATGATTTTGACTTGGCGCTGCTCTTTTGCAATTCGCCCACATTTTCCAAAACAGTGATAAGACCACGAACAAATTGTAATAGATTATAAACGGATGGATAAATAGTGTTACTGGATATGGTGGATTCAAATAACTTCCAAGTGCTGAGTGGTAAGGTATGGAACCCAATAGTGAACAAAATGAAGGACCCAAGGTCGGGGATGTTCATTGCGGAAAATAACGAAATATTCTCATCGAAGGTCACCAAGAACGCAGTTAAGTCGCGAAGCGACTCCTGTGATGACGACGGCGCGTTTACCACCTTTTCGACTAATGATGTGGCAACCATACGTGAGCGATAAAAACGCGCAGACAACGTTGACCACGCTAAATAATAATAGCCGTCGGATACGGGTATACCACGAATCACATTCAGCGCAGCACCGTGAAGACAACCCGTTAAGTAGTATAGTTGTCGACGTTCGATAATTCCTGGCATCTGTCAACTTGATTTTTGAAACTATCTCGAAATGATGGCCACAGGTGGAATTCGCCTGCGAATCTCGGCAAAGGGATTTCCGGGAGTCGTAAAAGGTCCGATCATCAGCTCGACATAATGTCAACGAGGTGTTTTACGATATTGGTTGGACGATGTATGTTTGCGACTGCCTTCGTGGAATTGACTAATGTACGTAATTCGCCGGCCTGTGCAACCGAATACTCTGCTGATCTATTCAATTTAACGAGTAATTCCAACAGCACGTTATCCTCGGCCTGGAACTGAGACCACAAGGCATTTAGACCATCAACATTGAGCAAAAACTCTGGAATGAAGAATCGGAATTCAAGCGCTCTTGTACAGCTTCTATCCTTTGAATGGTGGACTCACGTTTGAGCGTCCCCATTACTCGGCGCTCTTCCTTATCAGCCTTTGTCTCGACCATCGCGATCCCAACACTAACACATTATTAACTTCAGCACGTCGCTAGGCTGGGATCCCACCTAAGGTAATCCAACCACCCTCTGCTACCAAATGTTTGAACGCGCCGTCGCGGAGCCTTTGAGAAATATTTGTCGCGAGCCGGCCGCCAAACACTCGCGAACGTGCGTTCTTAAGAATATTATAAATTATAGTGAAAGGAGGAGATGATGATATTCAAGAACAATAAAAGGCCAAGAAAATGATAAACAAAACTTATTAATATTAATGTTAACGAACAATAGCTAAATAAAACAATCTTATCTAGGTTGGTGGTGATAATGGTCCAACTGATAGTCGCTACACCTGACTCCTAGAGGGTAGCATCAATAAACACTGTTACCAACCGGCAGACCGCAACTGACAAACAACCGTGACGATGGATGGCTTGTGTCGGGAACGAGGTTGGCACTACTGGTGTATACGACGCGCACGACGAACCGGCTTGTAACAATGGTCACGGGTGAAAACCACGTGGACACTAACGAAAAACCATAGTGATCGCGAACCGAAAACTAGTTGACTTACGGGAGACGCACTCGAAGAGGATCTGTCTAATATGCACAAAAGCGAGTTTGTGAAACACGTGCACGGTGATGGTACAATACCACTATCCATCAATCGACCGACGCGATAAACGGAGCGTAAGGACGCAAGGCCGCGAAAGTGACCACGAGGTCGACAATATCTAAAAATGACGCGTTGACACTACACGCGGTGACACATACACGAGATCAACCAACAGTCGCGGATCAAACGTACGACAGACGACAATCGCGTACAAAACGGAATCGGCATTAGGAATGACACACACGGAAAAGAGAGACGACGCAGGCGCGATAGTTATCGCCCGGCCAAGCGCAAACGAGTAACCCCCCCAAAAAAAAAAAAAACAAGTTCTCCAGCACACGCCACTGCGATCAACGGCCGCCCGGCGCGTCACCGGCAGGGGTAAAAAAGAGGGATTGCCAACCATAGTCTTCGTGAATCCTCGACTGTAGTCGTGATGGTACACAAACAATCAATAAGTCTCAAGGCCAAACGGTCTGTCTGTAGCTTAGATTTGAGCACATCATGTTTTTCACAAGGACTATTATATGTGGCGTGCTCTCGAACCATTCAATTTGTTTGTGTTGGCGAAAGATGGGATATCAACAAATATTGTACACTTTGTTGCATTAAGGGATTGATATTGTTTTGTAATAATATTGTCATAATTAGCGATATATATAATTTTAAAGAATAAATTTTAATAAATTATTGAAAAAATAAACGTTTGAAGTTTTTTCATTTTTATATTTCGTCATCGTTCACAACACTCCATACCTCTTTCACTTATATACCACATCCTTACACACTTATATTAAATTAGTTTTTTTTTCTAATAAAATATTCTCTAGAAATAATTTATATGAAAAAACAACGTTTGTCGGGTCAGCTAGTATATATATAAAGTAAAGATCTACTTTCTTCGTATAGTCATGTTAATATTATTATATTCTAATAAATTAATGAATAATAAATTCTAATAAATTAATGAATTTATATTAGTAAAATTAAGTGATAGTAGTTCTAACAGTAATTCCGAATATTCTGATACTAATCATGATTACATCCTTCCCCGATCAACTAAGCTAAGTTTACCTAGAGTTTAGTAGAGGGCCGACCTGCCCACCGACGAGTACTGATCTCGTTATGAATAGGGTATAGATTAAATAAAAAAAACAGGATAGGCGTTCATAAAGTTTAGACAGATTATTTTTACAACGAACTCTCAGGATAATACTCCTATAATAAAAGTTTTAATTTAAAGCCTCACTAACACAATGGCAATAACATTGTCCATCAAATCTGCATTGTCATTAATACCTCACTTTTACGGGCAAGACCTTCAACAGATTTACCCATTCATAGAAGTATGAGAATTTGTGATGAACAACGATGGTGAGAAAGTACTCTCCATATTTTTACGCGCTATTCTAACAAAATTAACAGGTAAATCATTTGCAGTAAGACAACATAGGGGGATAAAATCTTGGGACATACTTCCTTCAAATAAGACTCTGGTTGGGCAATTACCGACTATGACAAAACAGTTCTATTTGATAAATACATGCCTGAAGTTTTTAAAACCCACTCTTACATCCCTACTTCACCAATATTCCTCCATGATTTAGACCAGGGTGGTTCAATCCACGGCCCGCACCACATGCTGTCCTCGAAGACTTTTTAAAGCCTCCTCTCCATAGAAGACTTTTATTGAAAACAAAAAAAGTCACTATAATAGTATAATAAAATCGTTAGATCGTATACTAAAGCATGTATCAAAAAGAACGCCGGATTAAAAAAGCCGCTATTTTTGTTTTGTTTTTGGTCAGCAGCATTGGTTTAGCTATTTTTATTATTTGTCGTCATTGAGGTTTTGTCACAAAACTCATTGTTTGTGTTGTATCGCAATGGCAAGGTATATTGATAATAATATATTTTTATTTTGGACAAGGCCGTAACTGAAAAAAATTTCGGGAGGAGGGGGGGGGGGGTCCGGACCCCTGGACCCCCCCAATTACGGTCTTAATTTGGAATCCCCGGTGCTTTTATGAATGTGTATATTTGCCATTTGAAAATCGAAAGTTGATAGTGTTTTATAAAATAAGGGAGGAAGTTAAAGTTATCAAAATTGTAACACAGTGTAAAATAGTAAGACCCAGAAAGTTAAAAAAAAATTATATTAAAATTCCTAATACTTCCCGAGATATTAACCGGTTCACGATAAAAAATCACCCTGTATTTTGTGATATAACGATTAACGTAATTTATAATACTTTTAGTAATATACAGCTTATATAGGTTGAATTAAAAATTAGCTCATAAAATTAATTCAACCTATATAAGCTGTATATTACTAAAAGTATTATAAATTACGTTAATCGTTATATCACAAAATACAGGGTGATTTTTTTATGAGCTAATTTTTATAATTTAATATTTAAGCTAATATTTTCAGAAAATTTAGGTTTTTTTTATGATTAAATAATTTGATATTTGAGCTAGAAAGTATTAGAAAGTATAGTGTATAATGTAAGTATAGTGTATTGTACTAATTTTCGGAAAAACGGATAAATTTGGATATTTTGTCCTTGAATATTTTGACCTGGATTCCCCTCAATATCTATCCTAAATATTCAGAGTCTCAGAGTTCTATACCCACTATTGCATAAGGAAAGTATATTTAAATTTTACTCAAAACTTGTTGTTAGTGTGAACACTTGTAATATATAACTCTCTTATTAAATATGGTAATATGGCATTGAAATCTGGAATTAAGCAAACATTTTTAAAGTCAATAAATATACACTCTTAATTCAAGACTATACGTCGCACAGTGGAGTATTTGTGAATAAAAGCTGGCCATAAGTAAAAAAAAAAAAAAACAGCTTAAAACCATAACAATGCTAATTTTTTTAAAGTTTATTATGTAAAACGAGACCTTATGAACATTATGAATCATAGTTGTTAATGGTAACTTAAATAAAGCGTTCAAAGTTCAATAGGCATTGCTCATTTTATTTCTTGTTGTTTCGTTTAACGTGTACTATTTAATACTCAGTATGCGATTAAATAAGTATTTAATAGCGGTTTCAAATAATTATTATGTTTAGGGTAGAAGACGAGTTGATATTTAGTTGGTTCAATAACATATCATTTTTTCATATTTTAATTTAACATGTCATTTATTTTTCTTTATAAAGGAATTAATAATATTTTGAATAAATCTTAATGTGTCGAGCGATGTCAAGCAAAAATGTTTGTTTCAAAATATTA